ACAACAACAACAACAACACTACCAGAGCTCCTTATAGTTAAGGTAGGTAAGTATTTATCAAATAATTAAATTGTCTTTCCTTCCCTTATTCTTACCACATTGCAATATAACTTGCTATGCGCAAAAAAAAAGCCAGAAATGACCATAGTTTTAGAATCAAGATTATACTTAACCTTGAGAATTTTCCATAATTGCTGTAAGTTAAAATTAATGGTTGGTGCAAACTAAACCTATAATCCAAGGTGTGTTCCTCTAATTCCTGCCACAGGTATCACTTGTACATCTCCTGAAGACTGTGAGGTTACTGCGTCTTTTGCGTCTCCTGCAGAAGTTGGACCGTTATTCCCAACATAGCACAATCGTCCTGACTCTACTCATGTCCATGTTTGCTCTTCTTGCACACTGGATGGCGTGTATCTGGTATGTCATTGGAAAAATGGAGAGGGACGACAACAGCCTACTGAAGTGGGAAGTTGGTAAGGGCTTATATTTGTCGTGTTTTCCATTTTTAAGTTAAAAAGGAAGGTTTTCTGGACTCTGAATGAGATGAACGATGAATTCTATAACTACACTGCCTTTGACTTTTTATTTGTCTTATCTTCCTTTTTATCTTGGTTGTTTTTTTCTATGATACAGGTCATTTTTTTAGGAGAAAGTTTTATAGAATGAGCTTTCCTTTTTCTCTCCAAAGAGTAATGAATTAAGCTTTCAAGTTAAAGATGCTATTCAAATGACTAACAAGACTCTAGAAGTGCTCAGATGCCAATGTGTGATCTTATCATGACATATTTCAATTTAAAGCTAGTAGCAATAAATCACTGGGCAACTGGCCTATATCCAATCTTTGCAATATTTTCAATCAGAAAAAGAAAAAAAGTGTTCATTTGTATTTAAAGCCATAAATTAATAGAAGATATTTCCCTTTTACCCCCTTTAAAAACTCTGAGCACTATCATTATGACACACTTTTCAAACTTAATGAATGTGCTTTAATAATATGTGATGGCATTAAGCACTGGATATTCAAAAGCACAATTTGTAAAATTTCGTGTCCTCATAATACATGGACATTTAAGGCAGAGTTTCTAAGTGTTACATAATTCTATATAAATGAATCTGAAACATGTTGTACATGAACACATTTTTAAACTTATGCTAATCTCAGTGATTTATAGAAAATGAAAATTCTCAAGGCTATAACCCTGAATCCTAAAATATTGTCATTCTTCTCATAGTCATACACTTTAGATAATTCTTATAGTATCTTATAGAGAGTAGGTTTTTTTTAATGTTAATCTAATATTTATTATAAAGAATCTTTTTTTCTTAGACGGCTAGAAAATTCTTCACTTAATCTTCATCACCAAAAATCAATTTTGAACTTTTGCAAAAAGACCTTTACACAGAAATAAAGCCACAATAGACTTCTGAGAGAGAAAATGCTCTAACCAGCACTTAGTGGTATGAAGCATTTCGAACACCCCAGGTTTGGCTCTCATAAATGCCCTTCTCTCACCATAGGACACATACAAACTCTTCAAAGGGCATTGTTGGAGAATGAACTGGAGACTTTAAGAAAGCAGGTTCAAGGGAATGAATTGCCTGTCTGGATTCTTAAAAATGTTCTACACATCTCAATTTCATCCTTGAGCTACACAAAGCAACTGATATACCCTGATAATTTTCCTCTCAGAATGGTTTTCTTATCTTCACTATAAAAAGCACTTTTTTAATGTCCTGCCTGTGGACCCCAATTCTCAGAAAAGAAGAAATGTCCCTACACATCTCAGTATTATCCCAGCACTATGTGGAGCAATTGATGTGTTCTGATAATTTTCATCTCAGAGTGGTTTTCATATCTGCCTTAGAAAAGCACTTTTTTCTGTATCTTGCCTGTAAAGCTTGACTCCCAGAAAGGCAGTAAGGAGAAACATAAGACTCAGGAGTGAAAGTATCCTAGATAAAGAGAATAGGAGAGCAGAGGCTGAGATGGAGTGAGGGAGAATGGAAAAGGAGAGGGAAGAGTTTATTAAAAGAAGGATCAAGGTTTTGATTGTACTGGAAGAAAACATTTTCGGTCCCTCAATATTGTACCCTGTCCCATAACTTTGGATCACATACTCCATATTTCCAAATAGTGTTCCATGAATTTATATCATTAGATCTCTGCTTTTGTTTTGAATTCATATTAAAATTCTGACTTGTGGTCAGCCGCTTGATTCTTTTTTTCAATCTGACCTAATTTCCTTCAGGCCCCAGACCTATACACTCATATTAATTTGTCAGCCTTGTCTAGTCTTAGCGTCTCCAGATGGGGAAATTCAGCTTATTCACGCTCTTAAATTTAGTTATATGGGGAAAGATTTTTGTATCGTTTCTAACATTCTGGTCCTGCTGCAGACTTACAAACTAGGTATACAAACTGCTGCATAAAAATGCAGAGATACTGCACTTGGATTCTCTGTTTTATGTCTTTCCATTCCTGTTCTTGGTCCTAATAATATGGTTTAAAGAAATAAAAAGAAGTTGTAGTTTGGAACCTAATCACACTAAGATCCTTAGCATTAGTGGAAAGAAACTGGGGTCAATAGACCTCGCCTATCATTATGGCTCATTCATTAACATTGTGATTTCAAGCATATTTTGTTTACCTGTCTGGGATTCGGTTTCCTCTTTTAAAACATGAGAAAACTCACTCTATAGCTTGAAAGTCCATTTCATATTTCATGATAGAAGAGTTTAATAGAAAAACAAACTCAATAGTATTCACTATATATGTACTTGTATATTTTTTTTCTTATCATAATTCAGTGTCCACGTCAACCATCTGTATTAACCTTCCATGTCAGTTGATTCAAGAGATGCAGTTGAGTCAGGAAGTATGTTTTATGACTAAGGCATGCCAAAAAAATGATAATGCTTTTCTCAATGTATTAGCTTCTTGTGGCTGCTGTCACTAATTACTACAACCTCACTAATAATCCCTTCAATTTGCTTAAGGAATTTAGAGGTGTTCCTTAAAACTTAAAACTTATTCTTACAGTCCTGGAGGCCAAAATCAGTTTCACTGAACTGAAATCAAGATGTTGGAAGTATCTCAGTCACTCTGGAGGAGCTTTCAGTAACCATGGAGTAGATTCTATGTCATTGCCATAAGGAGTGTCAGAGCAGAACCATGCTTTGTAGGATTTTTAGTGGTTGTGATCTTTTGAAAGTAAATTACTACACCTGTCTTCAAGCTGCTGCTGAGTAGACTTGACCTGACAACAATTCAGTTAGCATTGAAGCAAATAAACCATTTGCACCAACCAGAGAAGCTCTAAAAGCAAATGTGTTTCTTGCATCTTTCAGTTTCTTCACTTGTGGACACATCACTCTGCCTCTGTGGGCACATAGCCTTTTCCTTGTTTGTGTGTCTGTCTAATATCCCTCTGGTTTTTCCTTATAAAGATACTTGTGATGGCATTTAAGGCCCACTGAATCATCAAGGGTAATCTCATTTCAAATATGTTTAGCACATATGCAAAACCTTTACCAACTATGGGCACATTTACATGTTCCAGAGATTAGGAGCTAGTGTCTTTAGTTGACTGTTATTCAGTTTACCTATTAAACTGTTATCAAAACAGATGCGCATTTATCTTTAGAGAATTAGGTTTGCTGTGCACACATCACTAAGGAGATTATTAGGAAGGTAGTATGCTAGTTTGAACAGGACCTGGTGTGGCACTGTAGGGTAAGCACTGGACTGCTAACTGAATGATCAGCAGATCAAACTCACCCATCACTCCTCAGAACCCTATACAAGGTCACTATGAATCAGAGCTGATTCAGTGGTAGTTAACAATAACAATAGCAGCAGCATACTTTTATTGTTAAATGATGTCGAGTCGGTTCTGACTTTTCCAAGGAGCACCTGGTGGCTTTGAATTGCTGACCTTGTGGTTTACAGTCTAGTGCTGAGAATTGTGTAGTTTATCAACCTGAATACTTGGAACTTCCCATCCTTTAAAATTACTTGATCATTTACCCCATTAAAATATACTCCATCTGAGATGTGGATGTAAACTAATTGTGATCTTTTCCATCTAATTTTTTTAATTGAACAGCTAAAAGTCTAGGCTAATTGAGTTTTTACTATGTAATTTGTCCTTTAAAATCAGCTTTACCTTTTTGGTCTAGCCATCATGAATCAACAAAGTGATTACTCAAATAAAATTTGGTTAGAGTACAAGTTAGTCTTTATCTTTGCATGAACAGTAGATGTATAGGACAGATACATCTTCCCTAAGGACAGAATGTGATTTCCTTTCAAATCATTGCTAATTGCCTGAAATGTAATTTTTCTTTTTCTTTGTTCTTGGAACACTTACAGGTAGAGTTCCAATTTTATTTGTTGTAATTTTGGTGAAATTTTACAGAGTATTTTTGTTTCTCACTCAACAATTTGTGCACATTTTATTTTGTGACATTGGTTGCAACCTGCTCAATATAACAGTGCTTTTTCCACTTCCTCCTTGATTTGAAACACTGACTTTACATATCCTATGGCACCACACCAGCTGCAACAATAGGCTTCAACAGAACCGTGATAGTGAGAAAGGTGCAAGACTGGGCAATGTTTTGTTTTGTTGTACTTAGTGTTGTGCTATAGGATAAATACTAGACTGGAAAATGCAAGGTCAGCAGTTCAAACCCAACATTCACATTTGAAAACCCTATACAGGGCTACCATTAGAATGATTCAGTGGCACACAACTACATTAACAAATTTGCTCGTATTTTCACTTTGATGATCTTTATAGTATTAGGTTTTATATTTAGATCTTGAATCCATCTAATTAGTTTTTGCATATGGTGTGATGTATAGATCCCATTTCACTTTTTTGCAAATGATAGTCAATTTTGCTACCACCATTGTTAAAGAGACGATCTCTTTCCCATCTGATAGACTTCAACACCTTTTCAAAGATCAATTATACATAAGTTCATAGATTTACTTCTGAGTTCTCATTTCTGTTCTGTTGTTCTGATCATCTACTTTATATATATATAAAGACACTCTGGATAAGCAGACACTAGTACAGATGAAGAACAAAGTGGGAGACTTCACACTTTCAGACTTCAAAACCTGCTGTACAGCCATTGTTGTTGGTAAGCGCCAGGGAGTTGATTCCAACTCATACTAACCCTGTATAGAGTTTCCAAGGAGCGGCTGGTGAGCTTGAACCACCGACCTTGTAGTTCACATTGACAAGTGCTTTATCCCTCAGTACCACACCAGGATTTACAACCATGGTAGTCAAAATATCCTTGTGCTGGTATAATGACAATCCATACTTTTTGTATCAAACCAAATCAAATTAGTCTATAAAAAAAAAAAGGCATTGCACTTCACTACAAGCTTTTTACGATCGTGAGGAAGGACTGATACCTATAGACTTATATTGTTGTTGTTGTGAAATGCTGTCGAGTT